CACTAAAATGATACCTCAAACGCCATCTGACGGGACATTAAAGAAATGATACCTCAACGATCCTTCCGTGGCGAAGGAAAACAAATGATCGGTTGCAAAATTCGCTTCGCGGAATACATGTTTCAATTTAGCCATCCAAGCTAAACCTAAAAGTTCTTTGATACCCAAAACAAGTCTTGAACCCTTAGTACATCATCAAAAGATTTAGAGAACCCCACAACGCTTTCATAATCTAATTCTACTTCACCTTGCCTAAATCTCAAGCCAAATTAAGGGTCTGAAATAATCCCCATAACTCAACAGTCATTATCGAGCAAAACTCAATTTTCATTGAGAACCTCCTAGCCAATGGCCTTGTTCATCGCGAATGAGATTACACACACGCCACACTTAACACCCATTAAAAGAGCCATCCGAGTTTAATTACTTAAACCGATGTAAACATTAATCTCCTTTAAGCCAACAGACACCTCCCGTGTTATTTCACAATCACCATGTTGAAATTTTTAATTCAACTAATTTAACTGATATATCAGTTAATTTTACCAAATATTTTTATTATATCATTTAACTTTCAACTATCAACCATAAGATTAAGTTATAAGCTCAAATATTTTTTATAAGCTACACGCTAACTAATGAGCTAGATTTACCAATATGCATGAAACATTTTGGTTAATGAATAATATAAGTATAGTGTTTGTAGTGTCAGTCGGGTGGTGATTCATGTTTTTTGGTTTATAGCGTTGCTAGTTTCGGTTGTAGGCGGTCTTCTGACATGTCATCTCAGTTTTTCAGTTGTTGGTTATATTATTCAGTTAGGGCTTGTACCTTTGAATATTTAAGCGTTTTGATAAGCAATATTCTCTATCGTTCCGATAACAAAAATAATATAAATATAGAAAATCTATAACAGTGCCACCGTTTTATAGCCACTTTGTGAACTAAAAAATGAAAAGTAGCCATCTTTGTAGATAAAATGAAAACTAGCCATTTTAGGGTATAAAAAGACAATGCTACCCTTACTAAATGTTTTAAGAAAAAAAAAATATTCCCATCTTCCATTCCCCACAATCTCCACGCGCGCGCAAAATCCCCAACAGTAAAAAAAAAAAAAAAAAAAAAAAAAAAAAAAAAAGTTATCTTCCCAAAATTCACTTCTAAACTAAATCAAAAACATGTTTGACCATCATAATCATTGATTTAATTGTTTGCAAACATAATTTTGTTTTTCTTTTAAATAGGTTAAATAAACATTTTAAAAAAAAATTATTTTTGTTCTAAAAGCCATGTATGAGAGCTCTCAAAATTATTAATTTTCTAGAACCATTTTATTTATTGAACTCATATATCTTTTTGGAGTTCAAGAAAATTGAGTTTTTCTTGAACCGTTTCTTGGAGTTCATGACCACGTGAAATTGTTTATTTTGTTTATTTATTTATTACTACTATTTTTATTTTTAGACTATCCTTATCCCCAACCCAACCCAGTTAATTATTAAAAATTATTTTTCTCTCTTCCACATACACAACTCAATTTTTCAACCTAATTTATCTTTATCCCCAATCCAACTCAACTTAAATATTTATTTTATTTTAATTTATATAAAAATTACATTTGTGTTCTAAAATATATCAAGTGTGGTCTCTATTTGTAGAGAATGAAAAAAAAATATAAATTTTTGTATATTTTTTAGAAACCAAGAAAATACACTTGTCCAATAAAAATGGGACAAGTGTCCCAATTCCCCCCTCCCCCCCCTCCCCCCAACCGGTTGTGACCCTAGGTCACATTGTGACCTGGGTCACACATTTTTGTTGATTTTTTTTTTATTTTTGTTTTGTCTTTTCTTGACCTTAGGTCGCTACGGAAACAGTCTCCTTGTATAATTACAAGGAAGAATTGCGTATAACTGACCCCCAGACCCCAACCTGTTTAGGAATATACCGGGTATGTTGTTGTTTTGTCTTTTCCTGGTGACTCAAGCATAGGGTCACCGATAAACCAAACCTTACGGTCTGATTTATTATGTTTTTACAACATTACAAGAATGCTCGGTCTAGTGCAGGGAGCTCGGGAACACCACATCGATAATATAACGAACACTCCATTGAGATTTGAGCTTTCCCAAAAAAAGACGCAGCCGAGAATTGTAGAGTCAGTCACAAGGCTCTTTGGCATTGGTCACGACAACGACAAAATTCACGTAAGTGAATCATCTGGAACACAAATCGTCTCCAACACATCAAGTGAATCCCTTTTTGAGAAGAAAAAAGGTACATTGACCTAAACATAATTTTTTGTTATTATGTTAAATAAAAAAAAAATTCGAAATTGATTTTTTTAATTTTTGTTCCCAACAATTGTTATTGATTTGTGTTGCACCGTACAATTTTGTTGAAATAATATTTATTTAGAGTTAAAAAAATCGATTTTTTTAATTTTTGATAGAGACACGAATTGATTTGGAGTTTTTATTATAATATGCTTTGCTGAGTTTTTAATTTACGAATTGATTTGCTTTTTAATTTGCTGAGTATACCTTCCCTTAAAGGTACTGAGTTTTTATTTACGAATTGATTCGCTTTTTATTATAATATGCTTTGTTGTTCAACGGGACACCCTATCTTTGAATCGGTGTATGGATATGTGCACGACTACTACAAGACCACAACATAGCGCAAACTTTACGAGCTCATAATCATGCCAATTGCGCATCCAAGTACTTGGGGACTTAACTACAACACCTAATTTGATGGTTGTCAAATGCCCTGTTAATCCCAAGCAAGCCGGAAGACCGAGGTCAAACCGCATACCTTCTACTGGCCCTTTTTCGAACTCTCGAAGTAAATCATTTTGTACACGATGCCACGAAAGTGGGCATTACTCTACAACTTGTGTGGCATTAGTCCAAAATGTTGAACAACCAATTCAATCTGGACGTCCCGCTACCAAAGTTCGTTTGTGTGGTAAATGTAAGCAACCTGGCCACCGTAGGAACAAGTGTCCTCAAAACATTACTAGTTTATATGCTTTTTTTTCCATTTATATGTTGTTTTTTATGGATCGTAAATGAATGTTCTGTTTGTGGCAAGACATAATTGGGTTGTAATTTGTATGATTGATTTGTGTGTGGTTAATGTAATAACTTTGTGGAACATATTGATTTGTGTAGTTTTGTTATGTTTGTTGTAGTTATTTTTAAGATGATTGAAAATTGAAGTGAACTGTGTGAAGTCCCTAAAATTTTGAATGAAAAAAATAAAGAAAAAAAATAAGTGGTCGCGGCCGCGGGGATTTCCTTAGCCGCGGCCACGGCGAGTAAAATTTGGGTCCCAAATTTCAAGTTCAGCGAAAAACATATCGAGGCCTCGGACGAGTCTCGCGGCCGCGAAGGGTGGTCGCGGCCGCGTAGAATTAGTCGCGGCCGCGGCGAGTAAAATTTGGGTCCCAAATTTCAAGTTCAGCGAAAAACATATCGCGGCCTCGGACGAGTCTCGCGGCCGCGGAGAATTCCTTGGTCGCGGCCGCGGCCATGAATAGTTCCCTTCACAGTTTCTTGGCACGAAACCAGTTTCTTGGCAAGAAACCTGTCTTTTGATCAAGAAACCTGTGTTTTGCTCAAGAAACCTTTTTTTGGAGATGAATGAAAATTGAACTGAAGTGTGTGAAGTCCCAAAAATTTAAGATGACATGTCAACAGGCCGTGTCTTGCTCAAGAAACCCGTTTCTTGTGAAGAAACTAGTTTCTTGGCAAGAAACCAGTTTCATGACAAGAAACCAGTTTCTTGCCAAGAAACCAGTTTCTTGTAAAGAAACCTATTTCTTGGCAAGAAACCTGTCTTTTGATCAAGAAACCTTTTTTTGGAGATGAATGAAAATTGAAGTTAAGTGTGTGAAGTCCCAAAAAATTTAAGATTTCATGTCAACGGGCCGTGTCTTGCTCAAGAAACACGTTTCTTGTGAAGAAACCAGTTTCTTGACAAGAAACCTGTTTCTTGTGAATAAACTAGTTTCTTGGCAAGAAACCAGTTTCTTGACAAGGAACCTGTTTCTTGCCAAGAAACCAGTTTCCTGTCAAGAAACCTGTTTCTTGTCAAGAAACCAGTCTTTCATCAAGAAACCTTTTTTTGGAGATGAATGAAAATTGAAGTTAAGTGTGTGAAGTCCCAAAAAATTTAAGATTTCATGTCAACGGGCCGTGTCTAGCTCAAGAAACCCGTTTCTTGTGAAGAAACCAGTTTCTTGACAAGAAACTTGTTTCTTGTGAAGAAACTAGTTTCTTGGCAAGAAACCAGTTTCTTGACAAGAAACCTGTTTCTTGCCAAGAAACCAGTTTCCTGTCAAGAAACCTGTTTCTTGTCAAGAAACCAGTCTTTCATCAAGAAACCTTTTTTTGGAGATGAATGAAAATTGAAGTTAAGTGTGTGAAGTCCTAAAAAATTTAAGATTTCATGTCAATGGGCCGTGTCTTGCTCAAGAAACCCGTTTCTTGTGAAGAAACCAGTTTCCTGACAAGAAACCTGTTTCTTGTGAAGAAACTAGTTTCTTGGCAAGAAACCAGTTTCTTGACAAGAAACCAGTTTCTTGCCAAGAAACCAGTTTCCTGTCAAGAAACCTGTTTCTTGTCAAGAAACCAGTCTTCCATCAAGAAACCTTTTTTTGGAGATGAATGAAAATTGAAGTTAAGTGTGTGAAGTCCCAAAAAATTTAAGATGCCATGTCAACGGGCCGTGTCTTGCTCAAGAAACCCGTTTCTTGTTAGGAAACCAGTTTCTTTTCAAGAAACATGTTTCTTTTCAAGAAACATGTTTCTTGTCAAGAAACTAGAAGCTTACGATTAATACGAAGGTTCAAAGTCAAAAATCTGAGTGCAAAACGAATCCGAAAATAACAATCCGAACAATATGTTCTGGAGTTCAAAAGTGCGAACAACATTCATAACCTAGGATAGAACATAATAAAAACGTACGAACAACATTCAAAGCACAATGAAAAGTCACTGCTCATCCGAAGGCGGTGGTGGCGGAGGGGGGAAAGGCTGACTGGGTCCCGAGGTCCAACGGGTGTCCCACTCGGTGAAGCTCTGATCCGACTTTTTCTTTTTCTTTTTTAGACCAGCAAAAGATGTTTCACCAGTTTCAGAAACTGCACAAGATGTAACACAACGTAAGACTAAATTTGCACAACAATCAAATAATCCAATAATATCTTGGTTTTTAAAATTGGAAAGATTAGATATATACTCGATAAGCTCTCAGCTTTCTCTACTAGAGAGTCAACAGGCTCTTCTTCACCTAGGTCTTGAGGCACTGGTTTCTTCTTTTTATTCTTTTGTGGGGTCAAAAGAAGCAATCTGCAATACAATCGTAAAACATTTTGAATCAACACACTCTACTACCATCTTTGGTTTAAAAAAAAAATTACTAAAACACAATGCACCTACTCTTGATTAGGTATAAAAGCTAGAGTTAAAAGATGAGTTAATCCCTTTCAGTAATACACATTAAAGGCAACATATATTTGCAAAGAAACAAAGCTCCTGCCATTTTTACTATTAATGAAAGCATTAGTACAATCATAACTTCAACATGCATTACATGAGACAATTGTAAACTCATCACTTTTAAATTCTCATATTTTATAACTTAGCTACACACAATGCCGTTTAAAGCTGAAATTAACAAGTTTGGATTCAAGTGGAGAGTAAATTTAGGCTAAAGAAAGAAATACATACGTCTTGCACAAGTCCATGAAATTCACAAAAACAGTTTTCTTCGTTCCTTCACGAAGAACTTGAGGAGGTCTCATAACCGTCCTGCGCCGATCTCCAGCAAGCTCAGGATTATTCTCACGGAGAATGTTGAAAACTCTTCCCAGGAGCTCTTCATAATGATAATCCCTATCAGTACCTTCCCAAGGATACTGTTGCAAAACAATTCCTTCTCCTTCCTCATCATCTCCAACTACATCTAAAATATCAAGATACAAACAAATTAAGAAAACTTGTATATACAAAAATGGTTCAAACAAAGACACTCCTTACCATCTAAGTCCTCTGCAACATTCTCTTTTTCCTCAATCAGAAGATCAGTGTGTGCCTGAAACAGTACAGCAAATGTATTAGATGAACCAAGGAGAAATGTCCAGTAAAGTAACAAAGCACAGAATTACTACAGAGGCTACAGAGGCATCAACTACACAAGCCAACATAGAACCCCATTACCGAAGATAAAATAACAATAGTAGCAATCAACAATTCATATATAATGACACCCTACCATCAATAACTAGTGGGAAAGAAAAAAAACAGACCTTTAATGAAAATAGAGGACAAGTTTAAATTGTGAAGTTTTTTCAATCTCATGAAATCCCGTTCGCATCACATTCATTTAGGAAAAATATTGTTGGGTATCTGCCCGTCGAAGCCCTGTTTGAAGCGACACTCTTTGGAGTTAATGCGCAGCCCGGTAGAGCCCGAACAGCTCCCGATTAGTCCCGGGCTGACCTCGAGCAGTCCCAGGCAACACTCTAGCATGGCCCTAACAACAACAACAAAGCCCGGACGCGGTCGCTTCAAGCTCGGACAAAAAAAACAGCTACATGAGCAATTTTTCAGCAATTAAGGGTATGTTTGGTATGACATATAAGCTAGCTTATAGCTTATTTGATTAGCT